TCCCTTCTTTAATGGCTCTTGGGAAATCAATGTCATGTGCTTTGAGAATCCTAAAGCCTTCCAACTGTGCATGGTTTGAATCAGCGAACCTGGAAGCAAACGGCTTGCTCTCAAATCAAAAGCGGTACGACCACCTCTTTCTGGTCTGGCGTTGATGCTGCAAAGATCCATTGCGCAACCAGGACTTCTCTAGATTGGGGCTTCTTTCTTAGGGAGATGGGATTGCCCTCCCCCTTCAGGGCTGTACCAAAGCGTTGCGCTGCAGTGGTTGTCTTAATCTTTTGGTGCAACTTTTCCTATCGACAATGACAGGGGATGGTTGAGGGAAGCCAGCCACCAAATCCTGAATCCTCAGTGTGTCTGTCTGAAACCGGGCCATCGCCACCTTCATTGAGTGACCTGCGGATTCCCTTTTCAGATCTGGATCACTTCATTCAACATGAAAGGGTCGCGTAGAATCAGAAGGAAAACAGTAAACCTATACGGTACAGTATATCCGTATATCCCATTAGCAAATATCAGCAGTAACAGTGGATGATGACGGTTCTTTCTCCAAAATAGTTTTGCTTACCGACTGTTACAGGTAGTGGGAAAGGCCTCAAGTAAACCAACAAAAGGCGTATGCTCTCTCTCTCTCCCTCTCTTGCGATCCAGCTGTCCCAGAGAAGGAATGAACTCTCCCTCCAACAATCATGGAAGTGGACACTTCCATGCTTCTTTGGGGAGGGTAGTACGGTAGTACGTAATTACTCCGATCTCTGGGCTCCTTCAGCTTCACTGCTCCGGCCTTTCGATTTGGGTTCCCGGCTCCCCTCTCCCCCCTGCGCTCAGCGGAACTGGCGATCTCCCTGGCCATGGACGTTCGTCCGGGCGAGCGAGCGAGCTCGGCTGGCCAAACACACACCAGTTGGGGTGTTTTGTGAGAACCCGTGATGTCTGCTTGGAAAGCATGGCCAAGAGACAATCCCGGTCATTCTGCGCTCACAAGGGGGCCGCCAGTTTTTGAGCTTTTGTGGTGAGACATTGCGGGATTCTTTCCTCTCCGCATCATTATGTGGGTCAATTGATCAAACGATTACTCGACTTGGCACCTATCATCTGGGTGCCTAACCGTTTCATGAGTGCTCTTGGATACAGAACTCCCGCCGAGGTTGGGGGTATAGTCGACCTAGGGCAGGGTCTAGACCTACCCCACCCCCATGTCATTTTCTGATTTCCTACCATGATCTCATTAGGATTCGGTCCCTAGCCAGCATGGCTCTCGCCGGCTCTCGCCCGCCCTCCCCGGCTGAAGCTAGCCATGGAAACCCAGTTACCTATGCGAGGCAAAGAAGGACAGCCAAAGTTCATGACATTGACATGGAACAGCTACCAATCCGTCCCCGTGGGATGCTGCTACTTGTTCTTTTCAGTGTTGCTATTGGCACATGTCATCACTTTCTGTGGCTGAATGATTTCGGTTGGTGGTTTGGATTTCATCGCCCTCACAGTGGATCCTTCCAAAGACCGAATCCCAGTTCCCACACCCCGCTCTGCACCAAGAGCTGCAGCACGACCAACTGGAGAAGAATCTGGGGTCGTTTCCCCCATGGGCATTTCTATTGTTGAGCGACATGGCGGCCGATGTTCCTATGGCCTTGTCTGATGAGAGGCCTCACAGGGTCCGCACAGATGCAGATGTCTTGGTGGCGAACCGTGGCGAACCCCTCATTTGGGAGGGGTTTGGCATGCTGAAGAATGCCCAGGAGATACGACTGGATTTTGTCATAAGAACCCCAGGTGCAACAAAAAGCTGTGACAACCCTAATGTGATATTCACAATGTAACTTTTAAGTTATACTTGTAAGTTTATAAGAATCAAGACTGGTGACGGCTTTCTCCGAGGAGACGGTTTCCTCATGCTTCCTCGAAGTTTGTTCTTGATCTTCGGAGCCCAGGACCTCAGGTCCTCGAATTCCGTCTCATTTGCTCGGCCTCCCGGGAGCCGCGGAGCCTTCTCCAGCTCGCCAGGTTTCCTCCCGCTTCTCGTCAGCCTTTTGCTCCTTGCGCGCGGCCAGGAGTCGAGGCGACGAGGATGGGGGCGGTGGAGTTGGACCACCCAAGAGAGGTGGGGTGTCGTGTCTATGAATACACAGTATCCGTAATAGTCCCTTAGAGGCCTTAGAGGTCAAAGGGGTGTACATTAACCCTATGGGGGGGGTCCTGGTGCCAGGGTTATTATAATATGTATACTATAGTTTTAACATGCTCTAAATCTCCAGTCACAGTCCCGCGGAATTCCTTTCTCAGCGGTCTACTATGATGCACCATCATGCTGGATCAGATACGACGCAGATCAGCTGGGCCCCTGGAACAGTAGAACAAGAAGTTCACTTCTCGGCAATTTATGCATTTTTAGAGCACACCATGTACTAACTGCCAGATTCACAACGCTTATCCAAGTGTGTTGGAGCGAGGGTCCTTCCTGCCACAAGACCCGGGGACCCCAAATCCCAGTGGTGAATGGAAGGTTGAACTGTGCCGCTGTGACCCTTCTCGCTCTTCGCACGCCGCCCCGGCTCGTGTCTCCTTCTTCCCTCCTCCAACAACGCTTCTGTCTAAAAGGGCCTCCGGAGGGTTGCTTTGGGCACAAAGCCCCTCTGACTCACTCACACGACTCGAAGTGGATGGACGTGTTCATGGCGTCCCTCGAACCATTTGGGACCTTGGGACCTGGAGGTTGAGGGGCTACACCGGTCCCCAGGATCCATCCGATCTGCGCCAGGTACCTCCACTTTGATCGCACGCGCGTAACTGTCTCCAACCAGTCTGCCCGTCGCCTACAGGCGAGGTACAGGGAGGTTTTTGCGGGGATGCGTTGGGGGTTTCATCCTGACAAGAGGGGGGGTTGAGATGTGCCAAGAGGAAAGGCTAAAAAAGAGGATGAGTCAAGTAAGCTGACATGGCACTTTGGCTGGAATGTTTTTCCGATTTCTAGGAGGTTCTTGGAGATTAGGGGTTTCCCGTAGCGGATGCACCGTTTTGGGACTGTGACTTGTGAAGGAAGATGCCAGCTCGACCTTAGATGAAGAAGATCCCACGATCTATCGTATTTTTGCCCTGGCGTAGAGCTTGCTGTCCCAGAAAAGTCAAGCGTGTCTTCCATCCAGAGTTGCAGATCGGGGGTTCAGCCGCCAGCCCTTTTCTGGGGGTGGCATCACCGGAAGTAGCTTTCGTGCCACGCCTTGAAATTCTTCGTCTGACCAACATGGAGCCCCCTTGACTCCCACTGGGGTGAAACGGAGTCTCGTCAAACTGATCAAGGTTGGCTCAAGCCACGGTGGGCTTATCAAAGGCAAACGGAAGGGTAGTGCACAGAAAGGGTTTTGCAAAAACCTATTCTACTAACGTCGTGGAAGGCGCGTGACCTTCGTAGAACCCAAGGCTGTTCGTGGACAGTTCGTGGAATGGTGGGCCAGTAGGAGAACTGACTGCAACGAAATCCCAGAAACCTTCGCAGAACTTCGTGGAAGGTATTTTTGATGCACTAACTTCGTATAAGCGATTTTTGCTGACCCCCTTTCTCCACACACCCTCCGTTTAGCCTTCAGTTTATTTTGACACATCCCAACACCCTTGACTAAGGAGGGACTGCAACCAACCTGTGTGCATTTGTTCCTTCATTTGTTTCAATTGTGGCTATATAGGAATAGGATGATGTAGACAGATTGTTGCCTTCTGCGCTCAACGAAGGGTAAGAGACTCTATATTTATGATGTACGCTAAAGCTAGTTCTGATGACACAGCAAAACATAAAAAAAGCATAAACAATGCAAAAATAGTGCAAAACCAATCCCGAAAAAAAATGCACAGAAAACGCAAAAACAAGTCACCAAAGGATGCCTTGGAATGCCAAAAAAACGCAAAACAAATGCGAAAAAAACGCATGTGTCCACTAAACCAATGCAAAAAACGCACAAAAAATGCAAAAAACATGCACAAAAAAGGCACAAAACATGCAAAAACAATGCACAAAAAATGCAAAACAATGCAATCAAAAAACAAAACGAATGCGATCAAAAACGTTCTGGTCTTTGCCTTTGCATTTTTTTGCTTTGTATTTGCGTTTTTTTTTTCTCGATTTTTTTTTGCATTTTTTGTGCGTTTCCTTGAGAAAACGCAAACAAAATGCAAAAAAAACGCACAAAAAACGCACAAAAAATGCAAAACCATGCAAAAACATCGCACAAAACATGCACAAAAAATGCAAACAAATCGCACAAAAAAGGTGGTGTGTGAAATTTGGTTGTGCATGTGCATTTTTTTTGCATTTTTTTTTTGCTTTGATTGAACTGCTGTTCTGCCTTTTTTTTTTCTGGCTTCCTTTTGCATTTTTTTGCTTTTTGATATGCACTCTTTTTGACCAGCTGCCTTTTTTTTTTTTTGTTTTTTTTTATGCATTTCTTTTGCATTTCCTGGTCATCCTTTGTGAGTGTGGTTTTGCCTTTTTTTTGCTTTTTTATGAATCCTTGAGATTTCAGAGTTAGGCTGTAAGGTACATCATAACTCTATATATATATAGAGACTGGAACGTGAGTGCGCCTTTGATCACGGAACGCATCGAGTCAGGAACGTTTCTTGAAGTTTATTGCCTCAGATTTGTATGAACATCACATCTCGGGCTTCTTGGCTGTTTTTGAGCATCGCAGTGGAACGGGTTCTGCCTAAGCATGACTCATCCATGACTCCAAAAAAGGAGCTCGGCCCGATCCTCCTTTTGGCGGTGTCCAGTGTCCGAGTCTGGCGTCGGGACCTCCGCCCTCCTGGCGTCGCTCGATGTCCGAATGCTCCGCTGCCAGGACCGGATATGGCACCCGATCCGGATCCATTTGGAGACCAGTGGGCTGGACGCCCGGCTCCAGCCTCTGCAGGGGGGGGCATCCGCACCCTCGAGCCTGCCTGAAAATCGAAGCAGAAAGAAGAAGAAGAAGAAGAAGAAGAAGAAGAAGAAGAAGAAGAAGAAGAAGAAGAAGAAGAAGAAGAAGAAGAAGAAACGCTCCCCCTAAAAAATCAGGGAAGTGGAAAACCCACCTGTTGGCATTCAGAAACGGGTCCTCCAAGGCATTCAGAAAGGGGTCCTGTTCCACTTCTATGATTATTCCAGCTGGCGATGTAGAGGCGAAGGAAGAATCGCCCGCTGGGTCAAGGCCTGGCCCCTGGAAGAACACGAGGCTGCTGATGTTGAGAATCAGACACAGCTCGCAGTATCGCAGGCCCCGCACTGCGTTGATGCCCAGTTCTGGGGTTTCTTGGGTGAGAGGATGGGTCGCTCTTCCATGCGATCAGGTCGTTTTCAAGCATGCGCTCCCCCAACTCGTGGCACACACCAAGAACACCAGACGTGCCTCATCAGGGGACCGATGGCCCTCCACCAGCTCTTGGGCCATGCCGAGCCGATTCACCGCGTCCACGACGCGGACATTGTCTTCGCCCAGCCCAGGAAGAGCAGATCACCGATCCGGCACTGCGCTCCTACGTGGAGGATGACATGCTGCGCCGCGGCAGAAAAGGGTTCCCTCATGCTAAGCGTGTCGCACAACTGGCGGATGTTGCGATGAGCCATAAGCAGTATAGGCCAGGTCTTAGGTGTAGAGATATAATTTCTTAGTTTGGCGCATGCACAGGAATCATCCACCATTGACCTCCTCATGCTGTGTTTTGGACCTTTGACACTTCGGTTATGTCCGCTTACATGTCGCGGATCTCGGGTGCTGCGGATCTCGGTCGGTACCAAGGGATGAGACCATGTCGCAGACCAAAAAGAGCAAACGAATCTGAAGTGTTGAATAGCTTCCCCATTGGACCCCCGGTCGGCGGATTGTGGACCAAGCTTTGTGGACCAAGCTGGGCGTCGATCGACGATCGATGCACCGAGCGGCTCTTTCTTGGAGCAAGGCCTGCGGCTGCGCGGTGGCTGTCCTCTGCAGTGCAGGTGCTGCCGGTCTTGGGGAACCTGAGGCTGAAGCAGCCACTGGGTCTGAAGAGACCTCGTTCTGCGGGGGACTTTCACGGCACGGGGGAGGCCCCAGAAACGCTCGGCCCGCGTCGCTTTTCCGGTCTTCGACACTGGCCAAAGCTCCACCTCACTTGTCAGGCGAAGGGGTGGAAAGTTCGGTCTACCCTTCCCCCCTCCCTGCAACAATCATGACCAGGTCATGTTTGTTGGAGGGAGGGGGAACCGTGTTATATATTTTCTGTGTGGATGCGTGGACACCTGTAGACATTGTCATGCGTTGTCAAGTGGGATCCGGATGTCATGGCAGGAAGCTTGTAGCTTTGGTGTCCTCGTCACCCGCAAGACATGCCGGAGTGACTGTCGACCGACTCCGAGGGAAATGGCACGCTGGCCCCAGGCATTGCGACATTGTCTCCACGCACAGCGGGCAATGCATGCGCGTGGCCGCCGACAACCGGGAGACTGGGGCGGCGCAGTGGCGCCGGTCGGTTTGGGGTGTTTAGGCGGTGCCGAGAGCATCAGGAAACATGTGGACCCCACCTGACCCCCAAAAGTGACAGCACTTGTGTGGTAATGTCTATTCACTGCCTAGTTACCACATGCCGGTCAGCCAAAGATTGTTGATGAACGAGCTAGGAGGTAGCCTCCGAACTTGGACTCATGGCCTACGTTGTCATTGGAGTCGATTGGAATGAAAAACCGAATCGCCGTTTACATCCTTTTGCGGGGTCAGTCCGACTCCCGCGAAAAGGAAGAAGAGAACGCACTTTTCCACAGCGTTCGTGTGCTGCGCAAGCTTGGTGGGAGGGTCATCATTTGCAATCACTGCGGGTGACTGGGTATGACTTCAGTTGTGATTCAAAAATGGACCGTGAACACATCGCCCCCAGGTTCAGAGAGATCCCAGGAGGCTTTGGATGTGTCAAAGACCATGACAAGTTGTTCTTCTCTGCTGAGCTGGCTGGGATTTTAGGTCAATTTATATGCTGTTTGAAGGCTTTCCCGGCTTTCCCACCCCTCCTGGCTGGTTTTGCGGCCAACTCCCAACGGTTTCTTTGAACGCCACAGGAGTGTGGTCCAGTTACTATACCCGTCGAGCATTTCCAAGAGCAGGAGCGGTTTGTGAGGGCGTTTGCTTCACACTTGTGCTGCGCGCTGTTCGCATGCGCAGGGGCAAGAGGGGTTGGAGTTTTTGATGTTTCAAGAGCTCTGAGGCAATCATGGGGTACAAGTGACAAGTTTTTGGCCTTAGTTTCTTTCTCGCACATCCTGACACAGAAGGTCTTGGCCAAAAGCTAGCCTATGTAGCACTAATTATAAGCAATGACAACTCCAACTCCAAGGCAATCCTTTCATGGAGGACGCTTGGTTGAGCCTTTTCGTTGGGTCATGTCTCTCAAAACTCGGGCACTCTGGGGGAGGGACTTGGACTCACAGCCTCACAATGGAACACACCCTGCATGACCTCCACCCCAAGAGCGATGGCCTCCAACCTAACAGCGATGGCCTCCACCCTAAGAGCGATGGCCTCCAACCTACTAGGCCTCCACCCTAAGAGCGATGGCCCTTGTAAAGAGCTCTTGTTTCATGTTGTCCTTTGAGCTGTATTAGATCCGATCCTTCGGCACGTCGTGCCACTTTTTAGTCCCCAGAGCATCAAAGTGCCAAAAATGGATCGCCAGGAGTATTGCCCCAATGGACGGATCGCAGGCGAGAGCGTGAGACGGAAGGATGTTCTGTCCCAAGCAATCCCATGGGACTGGAAGATTGGCCGATCAATTGACCCTTAAAACATCTCTGTACGTAAATCTTCCGTGACGGGGGGCAGGGGAGCTGAATGGCACCAGAAAAAGACGGACGAGCTGATTTTGGCACCCGCGAGCTGGTTTCGAAAGTGTTCCAAGAGGTTGAAGCTGGGGGCTCTCAATGGCTTCGAACAGATTTTTTGACCGCACCCAAACACTCCATGGCACTGCCATATATGCTTACATTGGGGTGGTTTTGGGGGGGTCAATGTAGTCATATATGGCATACATGGAATGTATGGGGCACTAATCAGGAGTTGCTTACTGGCTCACTCACTGCAAGTGGATGAATGCTTTCGTCACATCCGAATTTCTCATGGTTCACCAGTGGCCTAACGATGGGCCCAAGGTTTGATTTTCAGGTTCCACCCCTAAACGAAGATCCAACATGATACAACATAATAGAGGCTGACCGCTCAAAAAGCGATGTGTAACAAAATAGTAATACACAGGCTTAAAGTAGTGCTTAAAGTACAGACGGAGTGACCTTGAAAGCACTGGGATCTCTTTCCCCTCAAGAAGGGTTGCTAACCTTGCGGCATTTTGTGGTTCTTGTTTTTGTGTTTTGGGATGGTCATTCTGGGGTAGCGTAGAACCCAAAGTCAAACACACACACACATATATATATATATATATTCTCACACACACACATGATCGAATATCCACGAACGCCGCAACTCGTCTTCTCAAGCTTCATGGAACACTGGGTGGGGGGGTCTCGTCACCCTCTTGCAGGCTTCCACATACCTCGCTTGCCCAGCTCACTGTCATCCGAGCGTTCTCGCCCCGTTCGTTTTTGGATTTGCTACAGGTATCCTGGTTTGCACATCCCTGGTTTCCATCTGTGGTTGTCTCTTTCTTTGGCATTTACCTGCTTTCCGGCCTTGGATTTCTCAGTCTCCGGTCGTGCGCCGGGCTTCGAATAGGTTGAGGGGGTACTTGCATGAGCACTAAGGCTTCGTTAGCTCCGCTTCGTGCTGAGTTGCTCAAAGTTTCTGAGGATCTTGCATCCATAGGAGAGAGAGTCAAGCAGTTGGCCCAGCGATTGAACGAGCTGGAAGGTTCAGCGAACGAGGATTTAGAGTGGGAGGTGATCGAGGAAGGGAACCTGCCCCTTGGGGTGTCAGACCTGGAATTCCCCTACCCAGGCGCAAGTCAGGTCCCGCAGGCACAGCCGATACCCTCCGTGCCTAGGTACCTGTCGGATTTGTGTCAGGAGAGGTTGAAGTCAGTTGCATCCATTTCCCCCCCTGGAACGAGCTCAGAGGGCTTTCACTCAGGGACATCTGGCCTGGGTGGCCAGAGTGACCGGGCTGCACTATAGACCAGCAGACGCGGTGCCTGCGCTCCCGAGCGCTCATTTCGTAGTCATCCGGGGTCTGGGACTTAGTCAAGCTCTTAGGACAACCACCAAGCGTGAAGCCCTCCGTGCCTTGGCAGTTCAGGACGACACAGCTATCATTGAGGATTTCCCATCATTCATTGAGGTGCAAGTGTTCTGCGTGGGCGCGCGCATCTGCGTGCCTCCACTGAAGCGATGCAAAGGTCCAGCCTCCGCCTCGCGGAAGTAGGGGACCCAAATCTCCTAGTGTTCTCAATCCCTTCGGAGGTTTCAAAAAACCGGAGGAAATTTGCAGGTTTTCGCTATACCTGTCCTGCAGAGGGACGGGGGATTTTTGGTTGCACTACCAGTGGAGTCATTTTCGAATGAAGCTCTGGAGACAGCAGCACATGCAGACGAGCACGAACTTTTGGGGCCTTCCCACACATGTGTCGCTCAGCTCAGCGAGGAAGATGAGAATGGCCAAGAGGTCATGATAGACCAGGAGATCCTGGTCCTCTTGGTGGATGTGTCGAACCAGGCACTGCAGGCTCTTAGGGAGTATGATCCAGTGACGGACTCACTGGAGACGATTCATCCTTTTGATGATCAGTTTCCCCTAGCACTGCCTACAGCTGCCTCTCTGGTTGCCGCTGCCAAAGCCTGGATGGGAGAAGAAGATCAGGGCAGGCTAAATTTTTACTCGGCTCGAGAAGAGCCGGCAGAAACTCCTGTACGCTCAAAAGCGGCTGCGAAGAAGGCCACCCCCAAGAAGATCACAAATGCAGTCCTGGCAGAGCAGGTAGCATCCCTCTCCTCACAGGTGGAGGCCCTGATGGCATTGCAACGTCAAGCACCTACAGAGCCCGCCAAGGCGGCTGTCACATATGCAGAGCCTGCCGGAGGACAATCGCCTGGCGTCAGCAGACATGCATACCCACAGCTTCCGGCCCTGGGGCAAGGCTTTGCCCACCTAGGTCATCCCAAGGAAGCCACAGCAAAGAAGGTAGCCGCAATGGTGGGGCCACCGCCCAAGACCAGAAAAGCTCCCCCGGCTCAAGGGGCCTTAGCGCTACCAGACCTGTTCATACCAGAGGAACCACGAGATCTCTTTCCAGCGCAGATAGAGACTCATCCCATGCTCAGTGCGTTAGCCCAGCAAAGCACGGCTCTGACCACCTTGGTCTCGCACTTGGCGGGTCATGCGTCGGACCCTTTGGTGGATCTGCAAGCAGGAGGCCTGTCGGGAAGTTCTTCTTCTACAAGAGGCGTTGCCAGGAGAGAAAGAATGCAGACAGACCTGGCCTTGCGCCAAAGTCAGTACTGGCTTGCATTCCTGCAGCAGCTGTCCAGGAAGATGAATCCCTCAAAGCCAGTTCCTACAACGGAGGAGGCTGCAAAGGATGCAGGCCTGTCTTTCCTGGCCAACCTGGAGAGACATGGCGCCTACAAGCAGTCTCGGGAGCTGGGGACCATTTTGTGGGTCCTTGGATACATCATAGATGCTGCCATTGCACAAGACTTCGATGGTGTAAAAGAGCACCTGGCTTTGTTTGCAGCCGCCCTAGACCAAGCTGCTCTGGATCAGAGTTGGACGACAGCGTTCCTGGTGACTCTGGTCGAGGAGCCTCCTCCGGTGCTCTTTGCAGAGAAGGGAACCCCACTGTCAGTTGCCAAGCCATTCACCCCCCTCATGCCTGCCGTGTGGGGGGGGTCCTTCTAGCCTATCTCAAGGACATCGACATCATGACCAGCAAGAAACAAGAGGGAGGAGGAAGGAAGACCGGTCAACAGACCTCGCAAGAGCAGAAGGAGGGGGAAGCCTCTCCAAAACGCAGACCCCGCTTCCCGAAGAAGCCCAAAGGGGGGGGGGCAGCCAGACACAGGCGTGAACAATGAGGCTGGCCAGCTGACAGGAGAGGCGCAACCAGCACCTCCTGTCGACAAAGGTCAGGAGAATTCAAAGCATGTTAGACCTGGAGAACACGTCTTCAGCAAGTACAACCATGAAGCAAAATTCAATGCATTGCAACAAGACATGACGCTTACAAAGTGGTGCGCATGCTTGACCTCGGCAGTCTTGAGGACGAGGACTCCTTTTGCTGCCCACTTGGCTCAGACTTTCCACCTGCATCGTACTGACCTCAGTACGGCACTGGCCTTTTTCCCGGTCCCGCTCCCTACAGGTGAGCACTGGGCACGGATGCCCCCAGACCTCTCTCAGAAGAGGCGTAGACAGGTCCACTTGAATCGTGCAGTCCACATCAGTGTTTTGGCTTTGAACTACTACCACAATGGTGGCCCATGCAAGCTGGATTTGTTGGGGAGAGCTCCTTCTACTTCGCACCGGAGCCTTTATGCGAGGATCAGGAGCTTGATAAGGTCAGAGGGCCAAGTTGCGATTCCATGTATTGCAAACTCTGGCCGTAGGTTACCTCAATTAGTTGCAAGGTTGTCAGAGCTTTCAGTGGCATTGACGGCTATGGGGCCCTCCTGTAACCCCTATGACCGAAGCTTCGATGGCTTTGAAGTGCTTCCGGATACGGAGGCTGATGAGTTGAAACCATACAGGAACCTGGACTCATCCAGACTGGTTTTAACAGGCAGAGGGGCATGGGATGCCACAGAGTATCTCGAGGACGAGCTAGTACTGGCCTACAGAGAGCCGGCCTCTCTTTTGTTCAGCCATGAACCATGTCCGTCACAGGTCCCAGCAATTTCTGACCATCCTTCGGAAGCGGCAGCGCTGGCGAGACTTTGGGACAATCAAGATTTGTTGTACTTACATGACGGCAAGGATTTTGAGCTGAGCCCACAGTGTTTTACAAGGGTGTTCAACGCCTACAAAAATGCCAAGATGGACAGACAGATCGGAGACCGGAGGTCTAGAAATAGCTGCGAGAGCCGTGTGCGAGGTCCGAGCACTTTTCTCCCCTCTGGGCCTGACTTGTCAGACTGGTATTGCAACCCCAAGACCCACTACATTGCACAGGGGGTCACTGATCGCAAAGATTTTTATCACCAGTTCCATGTCTCTAGAAGTCGCGCTTTTTCGAACACGGTAGGCCCTGCGGTTGAGATCGAAGATGTAAAGAACCTCAAGGCCTATTCAGATTACATCTTGCGCCAGGCAAAAGGGCGCTACCAACGAAGCCTTCACGGAGACCGCCTGGGGATGAAAGGCCTGAGAGCAGCGCAGAGGAAGCCTCAGCAACTTTTTGTGGCCTTCAGATCTGTGCTACAAGGGGATCATGCAGGGGTTGATATAGCCACCAGCGCTCATACAGCACTTTTACAATCTCATGGCCTTCTAGAGGAGAGTTGTCAGCTGCAGAGTTGTAAGCCTCTTTTTGACCTGGAGAACTGTGAAGGACTGTGCATAGACGACTACTTTGCTATGAGCCTGGAGCAAGTAGGCACTCCGTTGCAGGCCTCAAAAGCCAGCCAGAAGATAGGCACAGCACGGGCTGCCTATAGGCAGGCCGAGCTGTTGGGGAGCCCGGAGAAGGACATCCTAAGTGATAAAGCGAAAATCGTAGGTGCGGTCGTGAACTCATCCTCAACCGCTAGGGATCAGGGGTTGGTCACCCTGTCCGCCCCGATCGAAAAACGGATTGCGTTATCAGTGATTAGTTTGCAACTTGCCACACTCACACACACCACCGATGCGTTGCATGTTTGCCTGGTAGGAGGGTGGATCTCTGCAGCCATGTATAGGAGGCCTGTTATGGGGCTCTTCCACAAAGTTTTCAGCTTGGTCGACAGTGCCTCTATTGACCCAAACCATCCGAAGATCATCCGCTTGCCCAGGACCACCGCAAACGAGTTAGTTCTGGCCTCGGTACTAGTCCCACTCATGTGCGCCGAACTTAGTGCAGAGTTCAGCACTCAGGTTTTCTGTAGTGATGCCTCAAGTAATGTGGGAGCGTTTTGTGCAGCCACTGTGCCGCGTGCAGTCTCGAGAGTGCTTTGGAAAGCCTGTAAGTCAAAGGGTGCATACACAGGCATGATGTCCCCGGTTGAAGCGGAGATCTTTAAGCTCGGAGGCTCGGAAGAGTTCGAAGGGAAGGAAGAGGTAAAGCCGACCTCGATCAGAAGGCCCTTGGCCTATCGGTTTGACTTTATAGAACTTTTCGCTGGAGCCGCAAAGGTCACCCATTCCATGGAAGCAAAAGGCTGGTCAGTAGGGCCCCCCATTGACTTGAGTCACAGCCCCGAATATGATATGACTAGCCATTATCTGATGTCATGGTTAAGCCATTTGATTCAGAGTCATGCCATAAAAAGTTTTGCCTGCGAACCACCGTGTACTACTTTTTGCATCATGCGACGGCCGCAATTGAGGTCAAAAGAAAGACCATATGGCTTCGATCCTAGCCATCCACAAACCCACACAGGCACCGCGCTTGCCCTTCGTGGTTTGCAGTGCCTTGAGTTGGGATGGAGACACGGGGTCCCAGGGTGGCTTGAAACTACGTATTCATCTAAGATGAAGTTTCTCCCACCTTATAAGACTCTTAGGGCCAAAAGGTGCGTGGACTTTTGTCGAACCGATTCGTGCCGTTTTGGATCCCCTCACTTAAAACCTTTTGCTTTCCTCAGCGTTTGGGCTCCCCTCGACCGTATCCGTCAGAGATGCGTCTGCAAAGGCAGGCATGTAGTGATCGAAGGAAAACTCACGAAGGCTAGTGCCATGTATACTGATGGGCTGGCCGACGCCCTGGCCACTGTCCTTTCAGAGGCCATCAATGCCAGGGCCAGCGCAGATCTCGAGTGGGATCAAGTCCAGACGGCAGGGCTTGAGAATGCTTTAGTGAACCAGGTTGCTCTTGAAGCACCCTGGTCTACCCTGAGGTCCTGGCCTTTTCGTCGCCCGGTCCACATTAATATCCAAGAAGCTGTCTCAGTCCTTAAGGTAGTTGAGCATTTGATTTTGAAGTGGGGACCTCAGAGGGCAGCCATTTTGGTCGACTCCAATGTTGTGAGGTGCGCAGTCTCTAAGGGACGCACTTCCTCGAAAGGTCTGATGCCTGTCATTGCTAAGGTAAATGCCTTGTGCCTAGCAGCGGGCGTGCAGATCTGTTTACCTTTTTGCCCCACTAGACTAAACCCATCAGACGACCCAACCAGAGGAGCCGCTCTGAGAAGCCCCATTCAAGGCTGTGACTTGTTTAGTTTTTCGGAGGGCGAACTTGCGCAGCTCTCAACTTGCGCCGGCCTTAGACGTTGGAGCGCAAATTGGGTCCGCCTGATGCTCAGCTTGCTAGGGCCCGGCCTTGTTTTCTTAAAGGATCGGAGCCGCTTTCGATCGCCCTGTGCCTTGGATTTCAGACCGTCGCTTCAAACACACTTCGAGAAAGGTTTTGATCAGACCCTTGGATACCCAGGGGAGGGGCCAGGCACTTTCGATCCTGCTTCTCGGCACACGGTTCTGCATAACTGTCGGCTGGAATTTGATAGAACCTTGGGTTTCCCTGGAGAAGGTCCTTCTCCACTCCTCTTCATCTCTCTGCTCCTACTCCTCTGTTTGTTTCAAGGCAAGCGAGATGCGCCTCTCTTGTGGATTTCAGGAGCCATTTTGGGGGGGCCGCGATACGCCATGGGAATGCCACTGAAACCACGAAACTCTGGAGATAGAGCGAGAGCTGAGCACAGAGCCCAGAAGTTACCTTTAGCTTCAGGACGACCTGTACTGCAGATCACCGCCAAGCACCGAGAGGAACTTCTGGAGGCCTTCAGAGCCTGGCTGCTGACAAGGGGGTTGGAACCTGGTGACCTTTTTCACAATACCTATCAGACAGTTGAAGAAATCAACATCTTGTTGACAGCGTACGGCCGTGAGCTGTATCGGGCCGGCAGGCCACTCAACCACTTCTCGGAGACCATAAATGCAATAGCATCCTGGAAGCCACAGCTGAGAAGGGCCCTTCAAGGGGCCTGGGACCTGGCCTATAGCTGGGTCAAATCCGAACCATCTACACACCATACAGCTATGTCTCCCCAGGTTCTGATGAGCTGCATCTCAGTCTGCTTGATCTGGGGTTGGGTGCGTCTGGCAGGCTGCCTAGCCCTAACATGGGGAGGTTTACTACGGGCAGGTGAACTCCTACAAGCCCGACGCCAAGACCTGCAGCTGCCGTCGGATCTGGCAGGAAGTGTGCCCTTTGCACTCCTTTCCATAAAGGAGCCGAAAACAAGGCACACAACCGCGAGGCACCAGTGTGCCAAGCTCGACATTCCAGACTTGGTGCAGCTGGCAGAGCTCGCCTTCCAGAAGTTAGCGCCCTCCGAACCTCTTTGGGACATGAGCGCTCAAACGCTCAGGTCTAGATTCAAGAGCCTACTACAAGCCCAACGACTTCCAACAAGTACTTACAGAGGGATGAGAGCACTTGACTTGGGATCGCTCCGCCCAGGCGGAGCAACGCACATATTACAACTGACTGAAAGTGGAGACTTGGTGATGCGCCGCGGGCGCTGGGCAAGCTACAGAGTAATGAGCATTTACATTCAAGAAGTCACCTCTACCTCCTTCCTGTCAGTGTTGGACAAGGACGTGAGAGACAACATCCTTGACCGAGCCCAGTGCTTCTCTTACTTTTTGGAACAGGCAAAGGCTTTTGAATCAGCTAGGATCCCAAGAGATGTATGGCACTTTTTGTTTGGCGCCACCCAGAAGAAAGACGCTTGAACGAGCTGGGGTTGAATGGGAAGAACGGGTGGCTTTGCATTCCAGATGAGCTAAGTTTGCTCTCTGTGTGTGTACAACCGCATGAGCTGGTGGAAAATGGATCACCGAGTGGAGGTTGAGTTGATGATCGAATATCCACGAACGCCGCAACTCGTCTTCTCAAGCTTCCCACCCGGGAGGCCCGCCCTTATCTCTGGGTGGCTTTGCATTCCAGATGAGCTAAGTTTGCTCTCTGTGTGTGTACAACCGCATGAGCTGGTGGAAAATGGATCACCGAGTGGAGGTTGAGTTGATATATATGTATATACCATATAGGACTCTTCCGGGACGGAACCAACCACAACTGGACCATCTGACCATCTGTCCTGGGTGTCGAAGTTCACCCCAAAAGGATTCCAAAGGATGCTCTTGGTGGAGTCCTGGTAGAAGTCGTAGGATTCTAATCACCATATTGCCACCAAATATTATACATATAACTTACTTTACTGGAGAGCCACTCCAACTAGCCTTGCAGCTCAGGGTGTCAGACCTCTCCTGGTGGTACTGGGATCCCGGACACGGACCTCATCATCTACATCACAGCCTTGCGGACCACCTGGTGCTCCGGCAACACTGTGCCCTGGCGTTGGGAGAATGATCACACTGCTGCGCAGCACGGGGATGATGCAGGCTGGACAAATCAAGTTCCTTTACAACTCCCAGTGAAACATGGCTGTATTTTTGAGCAATATGCTTAGCAAAGAGTCCTCGTGCCAAAGACAAGTTGTATGCCCTTCCTTCCTTCCTTCCTGCCTGCCTGCCTGCCTTCCTTCCTTCCTTCCTTCCTTCCTTCCTTCCAGGGTGTTTTGCAATTTGAGCGCCTCTCTTCACATGGCTGTGGCTCTTTCAAGAGCTCACAGCGACCGGCTCCCCCGCCTTCCGGCTGCCTCGGTGACCTCCCTGGAGCCCACGGCTCCGCCGCACCACACCGGGCCAAGGTCGCGTATGCGGCGGCCTGTCGCCAGGCTGAGGATGATCGCCCCGTGGCAGGCAGCGAACCGCCAGCTGCACCGTGACCGTGACGCAGAGATCAAGCACACTGGGGTTTTCAATGGTTTTCATGATCATGAGTGCTGAGGAGTGCTGAGCGCTGATATACGACTGTTGAGTCATAACCCCGCAAGACATGGATCAGAAACAGCCTTGTGAGGGTTGAAAGAAACATCCAGAAGGCTACACGATGGCTCAAGGCTCAGAAGTCCTTTAGGCACCAGAGTGTCGAGGTGTGAGCTGAGTCTAAATGAATTGATATGACTTGGTGGGTGTGAGTTTTGTTTCCATGTGATTCGACGGCAAGAGAAAAAGGCTACCCAACCCCTGTTCGGGATTGCTTGAGATTTCTTCCTTGAAACGTCTGACTGCTGCGAACAATCGGCAGATTCGATGTTCTATTTCCCGGACTGGGTGAATCCCCTGGCACCTGGGGAAGATATTTTCAAGGCTGAGGGTGATGTTGATTTCCCTATGAACCTATGGGTGGATCTCCAAACCTGGTTTTTCCCGGTTCCTCAAGACGTGTCGCGTGCGCAGGCTATCTGAACTTCTGCCCTCAGCGCTTGGGTCAGAATCACTGGCATCAGGATGTGGCTGTGGCGCTTCACGAGACCTTGCATCTAATCCAAGATGAGGAGAGCAGCTGGGAGGGGTTGTGAGCCCCATTGTCTTGAGATGGGCAGGTAGTTTCCTAGATGAGCTGGGGAGGTAGTTCCCTTGGCGAGCTAGTGAGATGTTGTGAGATGTTGCTGGAGCCCTTTTTGCGTTCGCTTTGCAACGGGGCAACGAGAATAACGAGAAGCATCACCCGCGAGATAAAGGTGTTCGCTATGGCAGAGGTGGGTACGACCAGTTGAAGCCCACGTGAGCTATGGTGGCGCATCCGCCACAGGAGTAGACTGCACAACTCTCGCGACAGGTTGTTGCCATATATGTTCTCAATATTTGGCTATCCCAGCAATTCTGCGATCGGCTTTTGCTTCAAAACATGGCCGCCATCGTAGTTCCATCTCGAATCTCTGAGTGCTTCATGGAGGATGGATGGGAGGCATCCACTCACTGGATGGGTCTAGAAACCTCAACGAACCAGATGCCCCAAGATGTCCTAGGCAAATGGGGGTCCACTACTGTACCACCCAACTTGGATTGAGCTACTCTGAAACAGCAACCACTGTACCAGCACTCTCCAAGGGGTACGTGTCTATACATAGCCTCTTAGAGGTTCGGGAGTGTCCAAGAACCACCTGGTGGACGGTTTTTGTATATATATATATACACATATTTTTCATTTGTTCAAGCACTGCTCCAAAAGTTGTCGGCTGTCGGAAGGAGCTTCGTGATGCTTCATGTGTTCCCCAACCCCATCAAGACCACACCCGGACCCTTGGGATCCCTTGGGACAATCTGGGGCATTGTTTTGCTCGGACAGGGGTTCTTTTGGGCGCGGGTCATGTGCTACGCCCGCCCGATCGAACGCGGTGGGGCGGGCACCCTCGAGGCACTCGATGGCGTTTTCCTCGTCGCTCTTCCCCTTCTTTCGGGACGCCAGCGGGGCGCCGCGCACCAGCCGCGACCAGTTTGGCTTTCCGCCTTTGAGCGAGGCGCAGAAGATGATTCTGGGAGGGAGAAAGTCAGAAAGCATACTTCATGTAAAACGATTGCAACTATACAATATATACTTATCGGTTAATAATATTGTGTTATATAGATATGCAGGGCTTGTTTATCGAAACTTTGAGTCCCACAAAGTTACCGTCACCTCGCATGGTGACGGGTCACCCATCCTCGGTGTTGGAGAACGGACGGGTTTGGCAGGCAGGCTTCTGGGTGGCCAGTGACTCCACCATCAAGGAGGCGAAGAACTCGGTCGGCGTCGCACTGGCGTGGAATTGGGCTGTAGGTGAGTCCATGAACGACTGTAAATACTTAACACGATAGATACACAACACGAAATACTAAACACACACGTCTATTACAAATGCTAAATATATGCATACTGTACACATCTTGATACTAAATGGCTTTAGCAAACACTATACAATCCTTTACAGGAGTCAGAGCAGACCAATACGACCTCCAGATTAGCAACTGAACTTGAGTGGTTCCAAGGCATCCTTTCACAATTATGACATGAATGATAGTACAGTGTTTGTTCCACTTTGGGTGGAGGGACATTGTACCCTCTGACTCGCGAACATGGAAGTGGGAAATGGTGTCGGGAGACTTATGCTTTGCCCCTTGAGCAAACAGTTGGGGTTTCCACTGTCACCATGTGATATGGAGCGTAGCCGACGCAACATCAAGACCTCTCGCCATCACCAAACAAGTTGCAATAGATCTGAGCTTTCTGGTGTTCGCACCAACGTTGAACAGATCCTCCTTACCAATGCAAGACTTGTCAAATCCATTTGTTTCTGTAGGTTTTCCGGACAAATCCTCGCAGTTCTTCAGCCCACCACCCCCAGGCTCTTCACCCAGCCAACATCGGCCCGTGGTACAGTCTCCAGGAGCTGGTCGATGGACAGCTGCGGCACTTCTTGGTCACCCCGAAGGTGGTGAACCTCGGATGGACCAGATGATCCGTCGGGTCGACGCGGATCCGTGGGGCCGAAGCCGAAGCCTGGCCGAAGTCGACGAGTGAAGAAACCTCGGAGTACGTGAAGGTGTACGGATCCGTAAGGCTGGGAACCCCATCTAGAGCCCTGAGATGATGTGGGATTGCGCCGGCCGCCAGCGCGAGAAGTGGCACTTGATGGGAACCAACATGTAGGAGGTTGGACCAGTTGACAGGAAACAGCCATACCGGAAGGGTCGTAGTTGGAGATGGACTGGCAGCCTGGCACTGGCTTTATTATGCTTTATTGATTGCCGGCCCTTTTGGTTTCAAATCAGGGTTCAAACATCCAGGTACAGATATATAATTTCCCACCAGCTCATATTTCGTGCGGAAACCACCCCTGACCACTGAAGGGGGCAACTTGTTGTAGCGACTGAAAAGCCACGAGAGACGGTGAAGGATGATCACCAACACCTTTTGATTGACCAGCAGTTGGTAGGATGGAAGTGGACAACCAACTGCTGTTTGGTACTCAGACAGATGGCCCCCGCCATCCACTTCCATCCCATCCGCTTCTTTCCGGGTGTGGTTTTTTTTGATCCTTGACACCTGAAGAAGGTCTGGGATCACTCCCAACACTTTCCCGACACTCGGAACGCCGAACGTGGTGGTGGTGGTGTTAGGGCGGCCGGCGGGGAATAGCTGTTCGGCGGGAAGCCATAGGGCAGCACCGGTCGCAGCACCGGCGGTGTGGGGTGTGTGCAACGAAGAGAAAGCGGACCTTGAGGAAACCTGGCTGGGCCCTGGCTGGGTAGACTGGTCAGCATGTCGAACTGGGTGGTCTAACTCTTGTAGTATACACCCATGTTTTGGAGCTTGGCCTCCAAACTTGCACTGCCACTGCCATGCAGACGAGCAGACTCAGATCTTGAAGTCATCCAGTGCCTCGAGGTTCGTGATGCGTTGTAGTTCGGTGCCTTAGGCAAGCAGCACGGCACCACTATGCCTGCGACCGGTTGACAGGCGTCTTTTTCCGCACGAGCGAATGCTGTTCAAGCGGGAGCGCGAGAAGGGGCGGCGACGGTGCATCGACTCTAACATCAAACTGTAGGGCCGTAGGAGGAACCAGTCACGAAAGCTAGCCTTAGCTAGCTGAAGTTGCTCTTGCTTTAGCAAGTTAAATGACGGGGTGGACGCGCCTCAGAAACCTCAAATAATTGATTAAATCAATCTTATGGACCCCCCCGCCCCTTCCGGAGGTTCAACTCCCCCGTGCGCGCGGTGAGCGGGTGGAAACAAATTAGCTGCTGCTGCAGTAGCTGCTGCTGCCTGGTGTGCTCGTTTGCTCCTGCTGCTGCTGCTGCTTCCTGGTGTGCTGCTGCTGCTGCTGCTGCTGGATTTTGCTCCTGCTGCTGCTGGGTGGTCTGTCTGCTTTGGCTGCGTCTCCTGCTGCTGCTGCGGGGTGGGCTGCGGCTGCTGCCGCTGCTGTGGCTGCTACTCGGTTTGCTGCTGCGGCCGCTGCTGCTGTTGTGTTTGCTGCTGCTGTTGTGTTTGCTGCTGCTGCTGGGGTTGCTGCGGATCCTGCTGGGTGGTCTGCTGCTGCTGAATTTGCTCCTTCTGCTGCTGGGTGGTCTGCTGCCGCCTTGGCTGCGCCCCCCCTGGATTTGCTCCTTCTGCTGCTGGCGTGGGAACACTTGGACTCCACATGCGCTCTAAAGCAGTTTTGTCGACGGTCTGGCTGCACAAGAGCCAACTGACGCCGCCTGACTCCACATCGCAACTAGTCGCGTACGCGGGGTAAGGCTATTATGATGCAAGAAATGCCGCCTGCACATTGCACCCAAAAAGGTATTAATTTTAACTCCTTTTTCGTACCAATTTCTTACATTACTGCTGTTCAATTTCGCTCCTGCTGCTGCTGGGTGGTCTGCCTTGGCTCGGCCGCTGCTGCTGTTGTGTTTGCTGCTGATGCCGCAGCTGCTGCTGCTGCAGCTGCTGCTGGGGTTGCTGCTGGTGCTGCTGTTTGGTGGATTTGCTCCTTTTGCTGCTGGTGGACTGCAGATGCTTGGTGGTTTGCTGCGGCTGCTTGGTGATTTGCTGCTGCTGCAGTCGCTTCGTGGTCCGTTGCTGCTGCTGCTTGGTGGTCTCTTGCTTGGTTGTCTGCGCAGCCACACCCTAGCATGTGCATGCCTCCCCGCCCGACTAGCTTTCGTTCACCCCCTCTGGCCTCAAGTGATCTCTTTGTCATGGATCTGTAGACAAAACAATAACAAAACAGTCCTTGACGATCCCCGAAGGACTGATATGGACTCATAACATCTCATAACCAAGACACTCCATGTATACCAAGTATGACATGTTTATCTAATTGGGGTCGATTTCTGTTTATTTTAGGGGTCGGTCAATGGCAGGTTTGTCTTCCAGTCCGAAGTGTTTGGGTAAGGAAGGCCATGTCGTGTGGCTGGTGTTGGAAAGGCTCGCACACATCTTCCACCTACCCAGAGGGTATGACCTGGATAACCTGTTTGGGGAACGAGGGTTCTCCTTATTGTCCTTATTGTCCTTCTTAATACAAGGGGGTCCAGCACATCACATCGTTCGCCCCATCCGTCCGTCCTGTCGTATTGCCCGATGCGGGTGAAAAGACCTGGATCTTCCTGGCCCATGCAGCACTTCTGCCTGGCTGGTTGTATGGATGCCAGGGCGACATTTTGCATAGGAAGATTCAGGTATTAGGTTTGGTTGTGTAGGTAGGATAAGGGAATATAAGGGATGCACCCAGGCAGATGCCCATGTGCCTGAAAAGAGGGTGCAGACGTTGGAAAAGCCCTTTTCCCTGCGCTTAACATACACTGTAGTTGTTGGCCGTGTCCATCATTGGTTGTTGTTCTCTCTTCATCACAGACATTCACAGACTAAACTAATTAAGATGCATTTACGCAATGTGGTTGGGAGCCGACAGTGAACATAGAACGCCTTGCTGAGCTGCTAGAGCAGCTTGAACTTACAAAGGGCCAATGTTGACACGTCCCACAGCTAGACCCCCCCCAAACAGTGTTGAGATGAGCATATCATGCAAAGTAGAGTCAGAGAGCACGATTCCACGGTTAGCACAACATCTGCGCTCGCGCTGACACTGTTTTTGCGAGACGGTCGACAAGTACCGACGTCAGAGAGCATGATTAGCACGGTCATTAGTACGAAAAACGAGCAGGCCCCAACTCGGCATCTCTATCTGCTACCGGCGCTTTTACCATTACCGTAAGAACCTCTTGTGACTACATTGTTGGAGAATGCCAATGACGTTTTCTTGTCCGGTCACCTCACAATGATTCTTTCAATGCAGAGCCTTTGGCGTGTCTATCTATATATTGGGTGCTTTTGTTGAAGGGGTCAGTGACCACCTGGCCAGGCATCCCCATGGAAGAGCAGGGAGGCGATGGCACTCGCTTCTCCCATTGGGACGCCCGAATCATGCACACCGAGGTGCGCTGCGCGAGACAGCGCGGCCCGCGACCCGCTGTGTGGTGGGGCCCGGTGCACGGGGGGCTTCTGAGCGTCCGATCGCTCCGTTCGTATGCGATGCTCTTGGCTCCTATAATTAGCAGCGTTCTTGCTCCGTTCGTAGCGATGGCCTCCAAGCTACTTGCGATGGCCTCCACCTAATAGGGTCCTTGTTACTAGTAGCTTCTTGCGTCCAGTAGTAAGGCCAGGAGCCACTATAGTAGTCACTCCTTCAGACGCCGGTGGCCGGTGTTCCTTTCAGACTCGTTTTAGTTTGGCCGCTGGACCCTGTTGGGTACCATCCTTGGTCCGACAAATGGCGAGATGTGCTGGTCCATGGTGAGGATGTGAGGATTATATTCCCGACTATATAGTTCAAAGACAAAGATGACACCTTCGTCAGGAAGACTGTGAAATCCATCTCCTTCTTCACTTGAACTTAGTCTTTCAAGTCGTGCAACATCCCTGCCTCGACCTTAAAACTACTCACTAGAACTAAACTGGATCAAATAGCCTCGGCCTAAAAACTGTAGATACCTCGAAGAGCCTCTAATCGCACATATTTGTAAAATACATATTCTATCATATTCTATGTGCATCATTCATCATCGATCTCCATCTCAAAACGCCACTGGCTTGAGACGGTGGCAAGAGGAGTACACACGTCAAAACAAGACGTCTTCTCGGTCCTTGAGGAAGTCCTCCCTACCCAATCAGTGGATAACCTTTAACCTTTTTTAAAGGGAAGCTGAGGGAGTCAGCCTCTCTCTCTTCTCTTGTTTCGGGTGAGTACATGCGTGAAGCGACCAACTCCGGACCGGTAGATGGGGCCGCTTCGCGACTCCGACGCCGGGACCGGAGTTCAGGTCATGGCAGCAGAGAGCAGCACGGTACCAAGGATCTCAGACTTGACCTTGGCGCTCTTAGAGGACGTTGGGTGACTGGGTGACTGGTAGACTGGGGCCTTTTACGGAGAGGTCCCGGTCGACTCCTTGGTAGACAGTGGTAGAGTACATGGCACGAACTTGCATGAACTCGGTCATGGTGGATGGGTGGAACCCGCCTTTGTGAGGATCTCAACTGGGCCAGCGAACATCTACATCTCACTGTAGCTGTTGAATATGTGTTGAATGTTTTTGAATGATGTCCAATAAGACAAGAATTATCATCTGAATTTTTGGCCCTGGTGTATCTTGGTGTCGATGTCGATGTCCTCGCAAACAAAGCCGATGATGGGCACCGTCGCGCCTTCTTCACCCGCACGTTTTAATGCTGTGCAGGTGATGCGCCAGAAAACAAAGTAGCGGTTATGCCCCTGTTTTCCTTCTTCCATTGGAGTCTTTGGGAGGTCTCCGTATTTTAATGCACACCCATATGCATGCAATGTGGATGTGGACGAGAACTACGGTCCATGTTTTGTTTTTTGGGGCCACTAGGCCCACTTGGCTGGCCTTTCGCATGCCAACTGGCAGGACAGTGGCTGGTACAAAGTGCATGGTGGCGCTGCATCAATAGGCCTGAAACCTCGGACTGATCACATAGAAGCATTCATTAGAAGGGTTTTGGATCTTGCCACTGCACTTCACGTGTGTTTTGGTCCCACGAACCTTTAGCCCTTTGAGGGAATTCTGTGGCCCGGAATGCCCTGCAGCCAGGATCAGGAGCCAGTTTGGTTGGGATTGGTTTATCAGCCCTTATGGTTCTGTTTACCTCGGTCGAAAGCAAGCTTTATTTGCAGATGGCGATAGCGTGGCGGGTGCCTTTTTCTTCGGCAAGAACAAGGGCTGCAGTTGCTTGGCGTTGGAGTTCGTTGGAGTTGTAGGGTGCGGAAAATTGCGGAGCAGTAGGGTTCCCTATCACAGCTCCTTCCTCAAACATACTATATAAATCTATTTTCATATCACCACACCACACTTTTTGACAGATCTGCAAGAGTGGATAGACCGATGAACTTTCTGCTCAGATGGTCCCGAGTTCACTGGACATATTGTCGTTTTGATCCTTTTGAGACCTTTGTTGTTTTGCCGCAGTGTCCAGGCTTCGTCGAGGGCCAGTGCATCATTGCCCCGAGCTCAGGGCGGCCACCTTTGATGGGTACACTCTGAGGTTTGAAGGGCATTGATTGGTTGAGCTTTCTGTGATGCTCTTCTATTTTTGGAGCCATTGAGCATCCCAAATCACATCGCTCGGTCAATTATTCAGGGGCAGAGCTCCGCAGTTGGCGCATTGGGAAGGAAAGGGGGGCACTCCAAAAATCCTGAAGAGCTTTCTACATACCTTTTTTTCTGAACGATCATGCCCTGGAGTTCTGACGGACTTCGAGGCCCAGCAGAGTGCTTTCCCTGGCACCTTCTGTACAGAGAATCAGGGGCCTTGCGCAAGTCAGTGGTCAGGACAGGGCGCTCTGGTCCGGCCGTTCCTCCAGTTGTGGTTTTCACGGGGCTGTGGGGCGTTTGACACGGTCTGTGAAGGGATTGGAGGGTGTGTTGTGTGCGGTGCTGGTTCCCTCATCCACTCACGCTCGCCTGACAGGATCCCTCACCTGCTCCCACGATGCGATGGCAGTGGGCTTGTGTAGCAACTGCCAGCACACCAACCCGCTCCCTGTGGCCTATCGCCATTTCGAGAATCCTAGGCAGGTGAGTGTGGGTTGGAAGGCCGGGTTTGGTGTCATCTGGCCATCATCACGGCTAGGATGCAGTGTTTTCTTATTGGAATCCTCCTGCACCACTTCAGGCCAAGCGGCCAATGTCCAGCATCAGTGGTCCAATGCCTTCTTGACGCCGATGCCAAAATTTTGCCAATGCTACCAACCGGTTGCCATGATAGTTTGACGATTGGCGAGTGTGGGGGGGTTATCATCAGGCTTCTGGCCCCTGTTCCGAGGGCAGACCAGATTCTTTTCCATTTTGGTTCATGCAGCCCGAGGGCAAATTTCACTGGGAGCGCTCGTCGGTTTTTAGAGACGGACGTAGCCATAGCCATACGTACTACTTGTGGCCCACGCCAGAGACGAGACGAGACGAGACGAGAAAGTCTCAGTGAGTCGCGTGACGATCCTGGACCCGCATCTATATTATATAAGTCTATATTATATATAGTATCATTATATATATAACATGTGTGCAAGCCTATAAGTAGTACAGTAAGTATAGTTAACTCCTTTGCCCGGGGAGCTCCAGACAGCTCTGGTTCTATGGGACTGTAGATCCGTCCATTTCGGGAGGACACACTGCCTTTTAACACCAGCCCTGCTCCGTGGCGAGAGAACCTGCCCCGGAAGGCTGGGTGGCTATGCCCGCTATGCCGCTCGGCCCAGATTGGCCAGAACTTTGGAATAGAGTCGTTTTCTCAAGAAGATCAAGTTGTTCAACGGTCACAGGGGGGCGCTTGCCTTTGCTTGCGTTCAACATGGTCAATCTTCAATGCAGGTAGAGTCCGTTTGGGCTTCTTCTTCAGACTTAGCCACGCCATTCGGACACCCGGTTTCACATCCAATAGCAGTGGCAGGCACGGCACCTCCATGTTTTGACCTTCCGATGAGCCGCTGTCAGAGCTCAGGTGGGTTACTGCCCGGTGGTGGAGCCCTTCTGGTTCTGCAAGGACCAGAGCGCCTACAGCGCCCATGCATCATTTCGTGGCTTGGCCAGGTGGGTGTGGCTCGCAAAAAAGGGACCACTGGCCAAGTCCGTGTGTTGCACAGCTGGCTTTTGATGCCAAAGACTTGTCTTGCTGTGGCTCCGGGGGTTCAGGTGCATAGCAGCTTAGCAAAACCTGTCAGACTACTCCACCAGCCCTGGTCTGCCCTTTGCCAGGGCTGTCTCCCAAGGCTATGGAGAGTCCTTGGGCGCCGCCTCACGCTGCATCTTGTCCACGGCCACCCAGGAAGGCCACGGAGTCATCCGACGTCGCGCTTTCGGCCTGCTTTGGTCGTCCCAAAAAGAACCAGTGTTTCACAGGACCTGCCCTCAGGCCCTTCCAAAGCAGCCTCCAGACCACGTCGGGCCGGAGCTGGGCTTGGCTGAACATCGAAAAGCTGGTTGCACCTGGTGGGTCAGAGATGTGGTTCTCAGTTTTCCCTTTGAGGTTGGTCATGTTATGTCATGTTAGTCCAACATGTGAGTGCTAGAGGCCAGTGGCTCACCCGGGTTAAGATAGATTGAAATTCACAGGGCGCTGGAGCTCAATTTCTTGATATAGGCATAGTGTATATATATATATACATATAAAGCCACGAAACATGCGATAACCAATTTTGTAAAGAGCAGTCGTGCAAGTTCAGCCTACCCAAAGCGATAGGCCGGAGCGATCACCACGCAGCTTTTGGATTTGTTCATCCTGGGAGTCCTTCACTTCGGTGGCCCAAAGTAAAACGCTGCAGTCGAAGACGACGAAAGAGATGAACACCGAATACTTCAGAAATGTCCTTTTTCTATCTTTTTCTTCAGTCGGTATATATTATAGAACCCCCCAAAAAATAGATGAAACCCAAGTTTCTATACTTCAGTCGAATTCACTGGACTTCCAGTCCTTCACAGTGGTTGCGTCGTTCGTGTTCTTCTCCGAGTTCCTCCGACGTCGATGAGTTCGTCAGGCTACACCCAGCCGCAGCGTGCCCTTGGCAGCTGTCGGAACGTCTACTGCGAGGATGGTGGGGTGAAGATTCAGCTGCCCGGCGCCGAAAGCCGGCGCAACGTTAAGAGCGATGGCCTCCCACCTACTAGCGAATGGATGAGGAGAGAATCTGTGGAACTACTTCAGGTTTTTGCTACTGCAAAGTTCCACCGAAATCAGAAAGCTTTGAACTTCGAACCGTCGTGTCTTGTTTGTTTCGGGTGTAGCCGCTCCGACGAACACATCACATATGATGTTCGAACCGGCATGGCTCATGGCCTTCTCAGAATCCAATGCCGCAAGACGGATTTTGGTTGCGACCAGGCGTTTTTGGTCATGACCAGGCCGGAAACCAGATTTGGTGGGCGAGGTGAGCAACCCAAGAAACCAGCGTCTGAGACTGGGCGTCCGCGGTGTTTTTCCCCGTCTGTAGATCTTGAGCACATGTTACATGCTTGCAACCCTTGAACTTACGGCGTCATTTTCACTGAATTATGCATCCGGCAAAGATTGAAGCCGTTTGAAGATCATTGAAGATCGAGGGAAAGGAGTTGATCGTATTCACAGCCTTCCCGCCCAGTCGTTGACCATGGCTGAGTTGTCAACATGAAGAGGTCAAGGAATTCCCGACGGGGCAGACCAGCGTCTTTCCTCCATGTTTAACTCGTGGATGCTTTTTGGAAAACCGAACCCTTCCACCCGCTGCTGCAAGCTCCAAGCCGCTCAAGCTGACTCAGCTCCGGGACTCCGCGTCAGCTCAGCCGCTCAGCCGCTCAGCCGCTCCTAGGATTGGAGGCCCGGAGAACTTGGTGCATTGTGCGGCAGCGGAGTCAGGTCAGCCCAAGCAGGTCTATGGCCAGTTCCGAGGCGCCCTGGCGCGCCGGCGGCACGTGGCGCGCGTGGCGATAACCACCGTGGGTGTTTGCCATGCGAAAGAATGCGTGGCTCAATTTAGGTCCCCCATGTGGTGGCTTTGGTGCCAAATGCGGTGGTTGATCGGCTTGGGATTGATTTAGGGCAACTTCTGTGTGGATCAAGGCTCTCATAGCATCGAGTTGAATCCATGGTGCTTCAATCTGATGCATCCTGCACGACTTAAAAACAAGATCGTTCCATCAGCATGCTGGCAGCTTTGTGAGGGAGGACCGTTGTTTAAACATGTTTAAGAAATAACGCCTTGAGGGTTGTGGTTTGGAGTGTTTTAGGCTCACTGGCTTCGGTTCGCGTTTCGCCGCCCCCTGTTTCGGCACCTCAGGCTATGTGCTTTGCCCTGACTATGTGCAACTCTGCGGCGCGGAGGGTGTCCACGGCCCCAAGCGCGATCAGAGCGACTGCCTCTTCCCGGGGGTGCTGCGGCATGGCCGCTGCGTGACTGGGAGAGAAGAAGCGAAGCACGGTAGCCCGAAGCGCGGGGGGTGAACAGTTCGGTCCCCACCGGGTGCTCTTCAGTCACAGAGGTTCTTGGCTCGGATGGTCAGAGGGAATCGGTAGAGACAAGAATCATGTTATTTGGACTCCAATGGTGAAACAAGCTGTTTTGTTCGGCTTTGGTTGTGTGCCCCAAAAAAATTCAAATGTTCGGTGGATCACCAGGGCAGTGGCCCATGCCTTTCAACATTTATTTGTGACATTCTTGCAAAGGCAGACTTCTCTGGTTCGACTTCTTGTTGGGCTTTGACCTCTTCGTGTTTTTGCTACAGCTGCTAGAGTAGAGCAGCTCCTCGTTGGGGGAGTTGCAGTTTTCACCTTGAATCAAGCTGGGAAAAAAAGGGCCGGCCATGTTTTTTGGCGCCTATTTGGCTTGGATGCATGTTGGTCTGGCCGGTACTGGCTAGACCAAACGGCTGAGCGGATGCTGACAGTGATTTGGATGCTGAGCCTGAGCGGCGTCTCTATTTTTTTCGCCGGTTTGTGGGGAACCGAGGAATGTTTGTGTGAATCAACACGATGCCGCAAAGCATAGTAAATACAGCGGTTTCAGAGTAGATGGCGCAACCCCCAAGATGTTTTCTAGATTGTTTATATGATTTTAGAGTTTGTCCCATCTACTCTCTGAAACCACTGCAAATAGAAACGTAGCCTCTTAATCACTAAAACCACCACCGATTTGAATTGAACAACCTCTTCCTATGGCCAGTGGAGTGTTTTCATTAATCAAGAGTCTACATAAATGCTTGGTAGTTCATTCTAGCCATGCTCCGAGCATAGTCCCCCTGCCAGTTTTGATCCGCACCCAACTGGTGGCTATACAGCAAGGTCTGTGTGAGGCTTGGGGTTTCTTCTGTGCTCTGCTCGACTGAGGTGTGCCCCCCTGGATCTTTGGGCACAGACTGCAGGGTACGGGATGTGAAGGCAGTGCGCCAGGCTCACTGAGGGGACAGAGAAAGAGAAACAGGAAAAAGCACCAGAGGGAGACAAAGTGATGTGGCTCAGTTCCGTTTTGTGGCTCAGTTCCGTTTTAAAAGTCAACAGGGCCTAACATTTCCTTTGCAGCGAAGCACGCGCTTCTGTCCCCAACACGGCGCGTAGGCTGAAGTGTGAGCCGCGCAAGCTAATCATAGGCACCTCCTTACGATCTGCATAGCTCCAAAGGAAGGCTTTGAAATGATCCGCAGAGCTTTTTGAAGACTTCTGCCCCCTCAGTGCAAGGGTCATTTCTGAGTCCACAGTACCAAACTACAAACGCGCTTTTTCACGGCTCCGTTTTCCCCTGGTGGTGACATAAGGCATAATAGGAATTTGCTCCTGAAGATTAGTTTTGGATTTGATCTTCTGTGTGCTGATGGGTGATGGCACTCGTCTTTGGGTCTGTGCCTGGACGGTTGTCGGTCAGGACTACCCTTTCGGCTTCCGCTATCCTCAGCTGGTCTTCAACTTGAAGGCGGGCACAGAAGTGACGTCAAGCCGAGGATGCCTGGCGAGGGGTGGAGGAGGAGGAAAGCGGTCAGGGTGGAGGCCAGAATTCCTGAGGTCCAAGGGTTGCCATTTTCCACATCGGTCTGATGGTTTGGCTGCAGGGAGCTGCCGACGGAAATCCTTCGAAGTTCCGTTGAACAGATCCCCTCACCCACTTCAACATCCATCGAAAGCAAACAACAAAACGATCAGCATGCTGCGTGCCGCGCCCGCCGACCCACCTTGGGGCCACCCCGCCATGCTTCGCCCGTGCTTCGCCCGTGTGGCTTCTCTTTTGCTGTCTTGGGGTTCTTCTGAAACCTGTGGCTTTTCACTCTTCCAGGCTTCCAGGCATGGCAGATTTATTTCATTGGTGGAAGAGTGAGAAGCCACACGGCCCGATTTCCAGGCGCTATGGCTTACTCTCTACCCTATTTTCAATTGGTGGTGCTTGAAATGTTTTTTGGTCGACTCGATCGATGGCAAGCAGGTCAGGTTCTTCTTTTCGTCTCTTTACATTGGGTGATTCCAACGAATTGTATACGAATGTCATCCATCTTCCGCTGCTGTGGGGGAGCAGCTCACAGACCAGGTGGGTGTGCCGGTCTCGCAGAGCGAGCTGGTCTCCTGGCCGGTGCGGCCCACGCAACTGGATGGACCCAGCCTGGTGAGCTACCGCGTGGCGCCGGACCGTGGTAGCGGTAGCCGAACCCGGAGCGACAGGTCATGGGATGCAACATGATTTACTGTAACTTGGTGGACAGGATAGTAACAAGCGCATCGCTACTAGTAACAGGTGCATCGCTAGTAGTAACAAGAAGCTATTAGAATTAAAATTAGTAGCGTCTTTGCTCCTAGTAGCGATGCCAGGAGCCCCTAGTAGCGTCCTTTGCTCCTAGTTGGCTGGCTGTTGGAACCCGCACACATAACAGATCTCCGCTATGTCGTAGATGGACAGGCAGACAGACAGACAGACAGACAGCCAGCCAGGTGGGTAGGTAGGTAGGTCGCAATTAGGACCTCATCGTCTATGTGCACACAACCTTTTCGACTGGTCTCCCAACCGACTTCATGTTCAAAAGTACGGCAGTCCGATGAAGCAACTTGCCAAAGAGGTGTTGCAACCCAAGCCAATGCATGGGTTCTATAGTGCTTTTTCCTTTCACATGGCAGGTGGTCTCTTCATGTCTCTTCCATCCCAAGCGACAAGAGCATGGAGTGTCCTGATTCATGGCTTGCACCGAACAACGACCTTGGTGGCGCAGGATCTTCCCTACGGCCTTCTGCTCAGGGACGGGGTGCTGGAGGGAACTCCTTTGGTGCCGTCCGCTCGCCAGACCTATGTGCCACCCGGCGTGGTCGGAGCGGAGAAAGCCACGCGGGTTGGGAGTGGGGATGATGGTGCATCAGTCTCAGCAATGGGGCATGAAGTTTGGTGGAGATCATGGCCAGTGGGGCCTGCTAAAGACCATGGCCTCTAGAAAGGGGCCTATACCATCTGTATGTTCATGAGTCATTGGGCGGTAAGTGTACATCTGCTTAGGCGACTGCTTCGTGCTCCCCTTCATGCCTCCAACCTGGGCGAGTTCTTGGGAGAACGCTCGTCAGGGGTCGGTTCGAGCACAGCGGGTACGGTGGATTCGAGAGAGGGTACGGTGGAATAATGGCACCTCGACCCACTTGGCAGAGGAAATCTTGGTCCAATCTTGTCCAACCCACTTTGTGTATCTTTGTGTGTTGTTATGTTGCTAGGAAGGGTCGTGTCACCTGCGGTCTGTCTCCCTCAGGATGGCCCATAGACATCCATACGTAGACCATGAACTCAATGAGTACTTTTTCCAACGACGCCCAGGATCGAATGCTTTGGATGGACGGGTGGCGCGAGCACAGCGACTGGACGGGATTTCCTGCAGACTGATGACTGATGGGCAAGTTTTGGCGGCCAATGATGAAGAAATCGGAGGGCATGAGGGAATACACGGAGTACGAGTTCTGCAAAGCTTGAAGATTTGGGACAATTTGACTCCCCCACGCAGCAGGGGGCTAGATGAAGACATCAGACATCATCAGACACCCTCCACAAAATGCACAATCAGCTTTGCAAGAGGTCCTGACCAAACCAAATGAGTCATACAAGACGCCAAACAAGACAGGGAGGACGTCTCTGGGTTGCTGGGTGCCCTGCGATCGGTTCTTCTCCCATACCTTGCCATTGGGGTTCATCGGTTCATCGGATCTTGGCTCGAGGTTTGAGGCACTTGGCCTTTCGGATGTTCCGGTTGAGGACGTGAAACACATTCCTCAACCTATGTTTGTCCCCTGCAGAGGACCATTTGGAACCCCAAAACCCATGGGGGTTGGTATGAGGAAGAAGGCTTTCCACAGGTCAATTCTCGGGGGTCCATGGGGTCGTCTGGGGAAGGGGTCATTCCTCGGACTTCGGATTCGCCTGATGAGTAGCCGGCTTGGGGGCATCCGGACTCCGGACCCCATGTGCATCCACCCGCCCAAAACACCGACCCTCCCCGAAACACAGAGCTCACACTGAAGCAGGATCACCACCTCACCACCTGCTTCACAAACCTCTTTGGGGCGATTTTTGCGCTGAAGTGCGTCTCGTGTTTCGGGGGTTTTGGGCGCATTCGGACCCCATCAGTTTCGTTCAAGGACAATTGGAAACCGTGTCTCTCTTCCTTGACGTTGAGGGCAGCACTTGACGAACCCTCACGGCCCTCCACGGCCTCCATGGCCTCCGCGCCGGTCTGGCCTGAGGTGATCTTCATTTCGGTGGCATGTGCACCTCGGCCGACCGACAGCTGACGGGCTTGGGACACGGCTTAAGAATCGTCACAGCTGGCTTGAGCAGGCAAGATGTACCACCACAGACGTCACCAAATCGCACCCTCAGCTACTATGGCGGATGCATATTGGAATGGATCTTGGCATTGAGAAAAGAAGGCTCTGGCCACACGTGAACAACTTCGCCCACAGAGCCCAGGAAGCCAGCTCCGAGGCCCAGGGGTTCATTTTATTTCTTGACCTCCTCCAGAGTAGATGGCTTCTACCGAGGATGACGGAAAGGCCGGAAAAGGGGGGGGTCCAAATGCCCTCGAAAGAAAGAGCTCCGAACTCGTGCCCGGGCTCCAACTCCCAAGGAAAGCATAGCAAAGCACCCCTTGAAAGGGAGCCAGAAGTCTCCATCAATACTATGCCACTCCTTCCTGCAAGTTCCCAAATCACGGTGACATGGAGGTTCTGTGTGACCTTTGTCTCACCTCCCAGAGGTCTCACCATGTCTCACCTAAAAGACCCACAGAGACGGACCTAAGTTCCTCAACTCATGCAACCCATGCTCCCATTTTTTTTAAAACATACTGTATGTTAAAGCCTTTCAAGTACCCCCTAAGCTCTCAAACTCGCTTCGTTCGCTGCCCTAGGAGGGCGCCTCCTGTGATGCGACCACGCCCATCCGTCCGACCACGCCCACGACCACTTCAGCGGGCCCAAGGGCATCCACCTCCGCAGGCGACGGAAAAGGTAGCATGGTAGACCTGGATCTTGGAATATATATTATTATATGGGTGTGTAATGGCGTGCAATATTAAAATAGATAAATAGGGACATCTACCAGTTCGACCCCGTGGAAGGAACATACACCAATACACCAGTCTATCCATTGGTTGGGTGCATCGCTTGTATCGCTATACACGCCCATCTAGGATGAGAAGGGAGACATCTGGCATGCGGCATAGTTGGAAGATCCAGGTATAACGACCATAAGCCTTCCATTGGACCATTCTACATTAAAGGTTGAAAAACGGGTTCTGCAGTCGATGCAACCCCGAGTCCAAAAAGGGTTGTTTGGTAAAAACGATCAAACCAATCCCAGAAGACACTCCATGTATGGAATATATGCCTACATTGACTCCTGAAACCACCCCAATGTAGGCAAATATGCCATACATGGAGTGTCTGGGAATGGTGGTTAGAATGAATTCTAGGGATTATGATTCCCAAAGAGTCAGGGGCCGAACCATTGGACGTGCGGAATATTGTGAAGATGACGGGTCCTATCCCTAGGCCCTATGGAGGGTGGCTATATGTAAGGCATGTAGGCATATAGGCATATAGGCCACCACTCTCCGAAGCATTCAAGGAGTAGGAGTATGACATCTGCAGTCTCAAATGCCACCACTGTTTCAATGGCAATTTGTCATGTTTGGGAAAACATGGAAGTGGGCTGAAGCTGGTTGAAGCTGTGAAGAAAGACCAACGTGGAAGTAGTAATACTATTGTTAGCTTCCTGGTCAGCTTGGGAATCTCCAGCTGGCTGTCAAGTTAGTCTTTCAAAGTTGTGTTTTTTCTTCAGGATGATTTTGAACATGGAAGTTGGCACTGCTGCTTGACATACCTGGACCTAGACATTTGGATCGTTTTACATCAATCCTGGAAGTCTGCACATTCTTCTCTCTACCATGAAGTTTGAAACAAAGTTCCTATTCTTTGATTGCTTCAGGGAGTGTATCTTCCCCCTGACTGCTCGCTCAAGGTTCTCTCGGCGTTGTTCAAAAAGTATTCGTCTGTCTGTGGGATTTCAGCCTCAGAGTTCTGAGAGGGGTTCAGGAAAGATCAGGATCATGATGGTGGATACCTCCAGTATATGGGCCAAGACAGGTCCCGGTCCCACAGTCAGATTCCATGACTTACCCATACTTACCCTAACCATTTCTGGGTATTGGTTTCCCCACTTCAACCGAAAAGGTTGCGAAAACGCAGGCACGGTGCTGGATGAGAGGAGACCTGCAGTGCCCCTTGTCATAAGCCAGGGCTCCTACCATCCTGGCTTCCCCGAGAAGTTGGTCGGAGAGTCGGATCGTCCTCATTTAGGCCATCCATGGCTTGTTCGAAAGGTACTCTGACGAACACATGGACGTGCAAAGCACCCTGAGCCGGCCATGCCACCCACGTCAGAGGGTAGATCTGAATGAAGAGTTGTAGGTCCAACGGTGGCGCTGCGGCTCTCAGCTACTAGGTTACTAGAAGGAATGGCCAGGTCATCCTCAAAGATATACTGTATACTGGTGTGTCACACGCATGCTTACAGGCTTGCATGGTTTCAGTATCTCCATGTATCCCATACTGTTCGTTTTGATGTCGGTTCACTTCGTTAATTCCATTTGGTTTGGCTGCAGAATCACTTGAATCATTCTGCGAGTGAAGATCCAATGTTGTTGCATGTATCTGTATGTTGCATGGTTTGACCAATCCTTAGGGATACAAGTCCATGTATGTTGCGTTCCTCCTTGTTCCTGGTTGTTGCATGTATCCCAGTCCCCCAGGGCCTCCAGGATCCACCAGCAGAGACTGGGCGCCCCCATGGAGGTCTGACCTGGTTTCACCTTTTGAGGGTGGGATTCTGGTGCATCCCGATTGAGGGGATTCCTGCCGGTCAAGGAGTTGGTCATGCAACTACTCAAGGAGGTATAGAAAACCAGGTGTTGCTGGGTCTTTTGGACGTGGAGGGGGCATGAGGCATGGTGAATTCTTGAAGATCTCGGCTGAACTCAGAGATTTTCCGGATGGCACCACTCCTGGTTGGAACTCTCGCCACATCACGGTTCAACCGGTCAACCGGTCAACCGGCCAACTCCGGGCAGCACCGATCCGTTTCCTTGCTCCAGGTTGGTGATGGCCTTACAGGTGCAGTTTTCCGCCTTGCAGAGGGATCCAGGGCTGGAGACCTTTGCCCAAGAGATGCAGGTGAGGATGGTGAGAAGCGTGGGAGAGGGTGGTGAGGATGGTGAAGATCACGAAAGGTAGCTAGGAGTTGGGATTGTGCATTGAGTTTGGTACTGTAAGAGTTGATTCTGTTCGTCGGGGGGGGCCCCCCCCTGGATCAAATCCCCCCTGCGCCGGTTCACGCCGTCATGGACTTTTACCAGGGTTGCTTGTGATTGCCTGCTACCTTTCGTTCACCCCCTCCTCTCTCAAGTGAATGAAACACGTGCATTTTGCTAGCCCATGGCTTGTGGCCATGGGCTCACCTCTCATCCAGGTGGCCCAGGTTGTTACATAGTCTTAGTTTCTCTTTGGTGCTTCCTTTGTGGGTCAGCCACACACTTTAGAGACCAGACTCCGGCTCAGGGGCTGGACGACGTCGTTTCGTAGGTCAGGATGTTGCTCTGCTTCAACCGATTGCGAGAAACCAGGTTCCACTTGTGCCAGGCCCTGCCAGGGTGGAGCACACCAGCGAAACAAATTTAGCGCTGGACATCGAACTCCACCCTCCCTCAAACAATCATGGAAGCTGAGCAGACTCCCCTCGTATCTAGAGGAAAATGGGTCTTCCAAGGGCCTATACGGTAAATACGTTCCACTTCCGTTGCCCTCCGGGTTCCGAGACCCACATGGAGCCGGGCGAATGGCATGGACCCGACCAGGTCCGCCCGTTCACTTCTCCAGGTGGTCTTCCGTCGACTTCTCCAGGTGGATCTCGCGCCCTGGGCGAGGGAAACGAGAGACGAGACGGCAAGACCAAACGAGCGACGCTGACGCTAACGCGTGGTGACGGCGCGGTGCGTCGCCATTGCTTACCGTGGTTGGGGCCTCACTTCTGGTGTTTTCCTCCCAGCAAGAATCTCAAGAATCCAATGTAGGCGGACAAGGGAAATGCGGTATTTAACATCCATGTTTCACCAAAACCTGAAGGGGGTCGGCCCATGGAAAATGCGAGGCGGGCAGCTTTTTCAAGGGCCCCATGTATAGGTGTAGAGTCTGAATATAGTACTATTCGATTCCTGTATGGTGTGCGGAGATGACATCAGAGCCCATAGATGAGGCAAGCTTTTTCGCTGTGAAGCTTTGGAGTGTTGACTTGATGTGTTTTGCTCTACTTCAACACGTAGGCATTATGTACATTTAAGTAGTGCAGATTGATTAACTTGACGAGTGGACGTGTGAACACCAGCAGTGGCCTGTCGACACATCCCATCCACTGACCCCTTTCATTTCAAGGGGTGATCAAAAGGACCCCGAGTCCTCTCGCCCCTGGCGGGGTAGACTGGTCGATTTCTTTTTGAGGTCGAACTGAGAGGTCTTCCTAGTTTACACCCCAGAGGCTTCCAACTCTATAATTATTGGCCCAACTCTATAGAACACATCACATGGAAGTGGAGATCGCTCCCTGTTCGTACAGGAACGTAGTAGCTTTCGAAAGGGCCATGCAATCCATTTGCATGTGATGTGTTCGTCAGATTGTACACTACATAGGCTGTGCCAGGACCTTCCAACAGGTGGTTATTGGACAGCCCTCAACCTCTAAGAGGCTATTTACATTATAGACACCCTTTGGAGGGTCCTGGTAAGGGCATTTTCATTCTGAAAAGACTTCCCCAAGTGAGGCTTCTTTGACCTCAGTGGACCTCCCAATCTGACCAGGATGTTTTGGAGGTTGTTCAGCACACAAGCAGTTGAGAGTGAGATCCTTTCGCAATCTTTGCGGGCCTCGAATAGACTCTCATAGAATATTTCCCTTAAAAGAGCAGCACTGGTCTTAGCGTCTTAGCACCACAAATTTCTCTTCAGCACATCTCTTTGTCAGAGATCACTGATCACACTGAAATTGAAATCACTGATTCTTCTTAATCATCTCTCTTTCTTCTCTGGCAAAGGCCAATGTGGGCATCAGTGCAGCTGCGGACGGCCATGCAGTCGTTGAGGCGGGGGATTCTTTCGTGGATGGTCAGTGCGTATGTTGAGCGGCGCATTAGTGGGGGGGGAACTTGGAATTGAGAACATCTGCGCAAACTATCGCAGGACCTCAAGAAATGGAATTTCTCAAGAGGTCGTTGGCTGATTCACGACACCCTCCAGGTCTTTCCGAGGTTCGGGGATCCTCGACTCCATTTTTTCCAGTCGATGGCAGAATCAGTGTCAATCCATTTTGGTTCCCATAATAACTTTGTCGTTTCAAACTCCTCTTGTTTGCCGTGGTCGGTAACCACACGGACTCTAGTGTTCAACCCCCCCCCTCTCTCAATCAATTTGCTTTGGATTGCACCATCTAATCGACTGGAATTTCTATAGATGGCATCAATACAACGTGCAGTAGGTGTCGGAGATGCCTAATGAGCAAGCATCCCTTTTTGAAGTAGCGACCATTGCTCGTCCTGGTCGATGGACCGCCCCCCCTCGGCGGACTCCAGCACCTGGACCAGGCCTGGGTGCCGAGACCGTTGCAGCAGCAGCTGGAAGACGCTTGGTCCGGGTGATCCCGTCAACCTTGAAAAAGGATGATGGTGTTGGCTTTAGAAACTCTAGAGGGTCCCTTGAGAAAGAGGATCGATCGGAACCTTGAAAAAGAAGGATGGGAACCGTTGTGCTTTACTGCTATGCTTAGAGATCCATGCTATCCGTATCCATTCCCTTCTACTCTTTCGGATCGGTGATGCGAAAACCAGCTTCCGCTGCACCGCTGCAACTCCCATCCGCCAGCCGCGGCGTGAAGTCCGGTTCTAGACGCCGAGCCTCCGTTGACCAGGGTTTTTCATACGAAGAGGCCAAGATGTCTCCAAGCCAAGGAAGAGGTGAGAAAAGATGACGAACCAACCCAACCAGCAGCTCCAAGGCATGTTTTCTTGTTTTAATGGACCTGGAGGATTTCTAAGGTGCCCAGAACATTTGACTCACTGGATGAGTCTAATTCTGCCTGTTTCTCCATGGAACTCCTGGACGTGTATCGGTCATATTCGGTCATGCACGGCCTCGAAACTTCTCCAACCAATCTGAAGCACTGCGCGGAATACGGGTGCTTTTAGCGAGGCATTGTAAGCACAGTGCCAGGACATCTCTCTAGAGGTTTTGGTCAGTGCTCCAAACACTGCTTCTCTGGGGTGCCTACCTGGAAAGCCAAACCCCAAAAAATATGTTTGTTCCAATCCGAGATCCTTTACAAAACAAGTACTGTAGGTTGGGAAACATCATTTTTTTTACTGGTTGTTGGGGTGTCGGCTCGAAATTTCTTCCATTCGGGACGTTTCGCTTGGTCAGGACAAAGGAACCCCTTCCGTGTTCTGCAAACCCGACGGGTCGGCTTAGGAAGGGCTGCGACAGCAGCTTCAAGATCCAGAGCCTTGGATCCAAAAGAATGGTCTCCTCGACTCAGAGTCAAAGCAAGAGTTTCCGGAGATTTGGAAAAGTGATGCCATGGCTAAGCCACTGGGTGTTTTTTTTTCAGGCACGGCACGGGGGTTTCGTATGGCCATGGCTAAGCCACTGGGTGTGATGGAAGCAGGTCTCACTGAGAACGTACGCGTCACAACACAACCAGGTGCCCCCCCGTTGAACGGACTGATGCCCTCGCGGAACGTACGAGCTTCCAGGGAAAACCATGGAGGCGGTTTTCCCGGGAGAGTCGCCTGAGTCCAAGATATATCCCACTCCCATCCTGGAATGGCACATCCTCTGGCCTGTGATGGGTGCTACAGTTGGTTTTGGTCCGTGGCCACCCAGCACCATGCGCGCCATGCCAGTTGGTCGGAGTGTATCCGCTCATTCCAGATTCCAAGTGTTCGCTTCACCAAGGCTCTCGTTATGAGTTGTGAGGTATGACCACCCAGGCGACATCAGGCAACAGCCCCATCCTGGCTCACCCATGCGCCATAGCTCCTGAATGAGCTGATCCAATAAGGGGCCAGGCTGTGGCCAAAGGCTTCAGTTCTTCATGCAAGTTCCTTCTTGAGGATGTTGGGACTATACAACACCACAGGTCAACCAATTCTCTAAAATTGTTTTGGAAGGTGGGTCTCAGGGGAGTGTTTCGGCACGAGATGATTTTTCGTGCCCAGACGCTGATGAATCCGCTCGCAGTCTGCCGAGGCCTCGTCGCTTTGGAGCTCGTCCATTGGAAGATACCTGGACTCTGCGAGCATCACCAGCCGCGCGGCATTTGCAAAAAGCCGGGCAGCGGCATGTCCGAGCACTTTGTTGAGGGTTGTGCAGATGTATTGGCCACTGGCCAGACGGAGTTGTCTTGGGCCATAAGGAGTTGTCTGTGTTGGACAGCCATCAAGGAAACTTTTAAGTACCTATCAAAGTGGTACCTCCACTATGGAGGCTTTATATACTGTACCAGTTACATACCAGGTATATATATATATACTTCATTATATATCATTATTCTATGGGAGTGGTATGGAAGTGGTATAGGGAAAATCCTTATAGGAGTGGTATGGGGAATGTAAGTCAGTGGTATGGGAGTGGTATGGAAGTGGTATAGGGAAAATCCTTATAGGAGTGGTATGGGGAATGTAAGTCAGTGGTGGTATGGGAGTGGCTGCCAGGATGCTTTGAGTTTGAGCAGATGCACCCACGTCACGTGCATAATTCTCCCATAACTTTATAGGAAAAATCCATGTCTCCAACTCCTTGAACCTATACTGCTCCCATGCACAGGTACCAAGTTTGCAGGTACTTAAAAGTTTGGTAGAAGCCAGGCCAGGTCAAAACCCTTCGAGAATGAGATATGGTCGCAAGGATCGCTTTCCACATGGGCCACGTTTCCCGGGTCGAGTGACCGTCCGAGGTATCAACGAAGAGGGTGCAACACAGGCGCCACGGGGGGGGGGGTTTCTTTCAGACCTTGAAGCGGATCTTCATCCTGCTTTTCAGCGGTCTTCCGGCATTGGAAGACACCCTCGGCCCCCCCAAAAGAACGACCTCCTTCCCTCCAAGTTTCATTTTGCCGCGCTTTTCTTATATCATGTAGGCTCTACATGGACCTTTCAACGTGTTACCTGGTGACAAGTCTGCCCAGAAACCGGGTTCCCAAACAGCCTGGCACATCGCACCTGGTTCTACCGAAGCTCGTCCAGACGACGTCCCTTCCTTCGACCCGGAGAGGTTTGGCCGCCCAAAGAAGATGCGGCACCCAGCTGGATCGATCTCACTGTGGGGAACCCCAGCTTGAATGTTGCGGGTTCTATTTTCAGAAGTCCTACCCTGTCAGTGGACAACCCGTTTTTTCTTTTAAAATATATCTTTATTACAAAGCTGAGGGCAGGGAATCAGATTCCTTCCTCGACATGGAACCGCGAATCCGTGAACCCTTGCACCCTTTGGGGCAGGGGTTTAGGAGCAAACTCATGAGAACTCAATCTTCCCCCATACTTCTCTAAAATGCAGTGGTTCAGAAGTAGTTTTGATTACGGAACATGTCCTCTCAACGTCCTCCTCATGTTTGAAGAGTTATGAGCGGAGATGGTTACCACGCGTGCTCTTGGATCTCAGTCACCGCAGATGGTTACTCCCCCAAGGCGGGGGATGTTCCATTCTCCGAGGCTTGGCAGGATTGGTTGACCTCTCAGCCCTTGTGGGTCAAAGTGGCGCTCCTTGGCTGCCACGTATTGAAGCCGGGTGCTCCATCCGACTCGCCCGGGAGTCCAATTTGGGTGGATTTTTGATTGTCCCGAACTGGGGTGAACCCCCGAACCCAGGGAAGATGTTTAATCTCCTCCTTCTTCTCCTAGCAAGCCCTAGTCTTTGGCGTTCTTTGATTCTTTCTCCGGTGGGCTGCCTATTTGGTTTATTGAATTGGAGATGTGTCAGGTGTCACGTGTCTGTCTGAAGGGTGCAGAAGACCTGCTACTGGTTAAAGAGTGTACAGCCTATTGCCATTGGCCTTGAAGCAATGGTCAACCAGCGCGATGAAACACCAGTGATCCCCAGCAAATGGTTTATTCAGTTGCTTGAGCAGCAGGGCTGTTTGTTCTGTGGAAACCCATGTGCTTCCCTCGTTGGAGGTGAGAAAACATGGTTGACATGGTGTAGTTCGACCAAAGGAGCATGCATAGAACGAGTGTCAGAATCTTGACCAACTTGGAGGACTCTCCCTCCCCAACTTGGTTCCAAGCGGCGGATGCGGAGAGTGGCCTGGATTCCATCCGGCATCCGTGAATTCATTGAAGGGGATCCTTTTGGACTAGCCTCTCGGGTTTGCTTTTTCGCCGCCAGCGGGGACGGGGTGTCATCCCCCAAAAAAGGTCGTCAGAGCACAGTTCGAAGAAAGCTGCTCATCCAGCTAGAGCCAGGGAGGGCAGCTTTTCAGCTACGGCCGTTGCCGCCTCTTCTTGGGGCTCCAAGCTGATCGGGGCGCACTGCTGGGCAGATCTGATCGTGAATATCGTGAGACCACACGGAGCACGAGATCTCCGACATGGCCCCCCAAAGTGGAAAGTGAGCTAGCCCCCCCAAGAAAGTTCGCCCAAACAGATCCACCCACCAACTCCCCTCCTACAAGGTCAACCCCAGCTCGCCAGACCGAACGACCACGACCGGACATCATGCATCATGTGATCTCAATCACAAAAGCAGGCACTTGATCAATCTTTATCATCGTTCTTGCGTCAGTTGCACCCAAATCTACTGAAGAGAAAGGCTGCAGCCGCGCTGTCCGAGCAGCGCAGAGCTGCTCGGACGCAGCTCGGCCTCGATGTTCAGCTGCTGCTGCTTGGACCGGACGACGGTGGGTGATGCAGTTATCCAAGTGGGTGAGGACGAGAGAGGAGAGCAGCAGGAGCGGCAGAACCCGACCCGGATCGATGGCTCCGATGCGACGTGCACGAGACGGCCGAGCTGGGATCGTTCTTTTGGACCCGGGTTCGAGACGCCCCCGACGTGCCGTCGTTTCATCCTTTTTTCAGGGGGATGAGTCACGTCACAGCACGGACGAAGGCTTCGAAGGCTTCGAAGTGTTTTGATTGGGTTTTCTCTCTAGCTCTTTAGCTCTAGCAGCACACCAACTCCACGGAGTCTCCTTCGGAGTTTGGAGATCGAGGGAGAGAGAGAGAGAGAGAGAGAGAAGGAGAAGACTTGTGGATGGTGACCTGCAGGGTCTAGGTAGATAAGACAACGTCAGTGAGTCAGAATTGGGATCAATTGCTTTTGAACAGCAAGCGGTATACATTATATATATATATTGCTTGTTCCAAAAACCACATCAAATGGATGATTACTGCTACATTATGAACAATTACGTGACCAGGGTCCACATAGTGTGTCTTGTTTTAGACTTTCCTCGGAACACGAGAGCAGCCAAAATTGTTTGGTCGGATTTGGTATCTCAGCGCAACCGTTTACCGAATCAGCAAACAGCGCAGCCCCTAGCCATGCATCATATCCGACTGGATGCTGAACTTGGTAGCGCAAGCTTGACGCGCACCTTCACCCATACCACTGCTTTCCTTTCCCCAGCCCTTTGTTCGACCATTAAGCGAGCGTTTGACTTGCTTTTGTAGGGCGAACATCCTTAGTACACACTGCTACAGACACTCGACTTTCCAACGAACTCCCCCGCCAGTGAAGTGCTCATGACTCATGTATGGGATGACGGGGTTTTCTTCATCTCCCCCAAGATGGAGATGCCTGATGTTCGCTCATGAAATGCCTTCCGCGTCAGATCCCGTTCTTTGAATTCCTGGTGAAGGTCAGCAAGGAGCTCGGGCGGGACGAGGGAAACAGCTGCCCTAAGTAGCACTAGCTTGTCAAGCAAAGGAGGATGGCATGCAATACAGTAAATGACTAAGAAACTAGGGTGCCAGTGTGGAGTGTTAAGCTCCAGTTTTCATCCAGATCCCCACTGAACCTACGTATACGGACAGCTTGCTGTCTAATTTAGTGTTTTGCAGTCAAGGTCTAATGCACTTCAGCCCAGTGGACCGGACTTCCGATGCCGGGACAGGGCGTCGGTCCGCCTCGCCGTCGCAGCGTCTGCCGCAGGAGAATGGGAAGGATTTGGGATGTATCCTGGAGAGCAGTCTGCCGGACTTCTGCATCCTGCGAGAGGTGAAGCCCAAGGGTCCCAGGTGCCCTTTGAAGGAGCAGAACTGCAGTTCTCTGCGGAACTGCGGGAGGGGGTAGGAGGGGGGCGGCAATCGTGGAGCTACCCCCATGAACCTTCTCTCTCTACCAATCCCCGTCCAACCCTCGCTCTACCGCTACCGCGCCCCACCGGAGCTGCGTGCTGCGTGGGGCGTATCCGCAGGACGTGCAGGTCTTCGATCGGATTATGAAGGTCAATGGCTCAGGTGGCTCCAGTCGCAAGCTGCTGCAGCTGCTCGAGAGCCATGGTGGGTGTTGGTTCAGACTGGGCGGAGAATTGGTGGGGGTTGTGACTGCCAAAGGAGAAGAAGCCTCTGAAATCAACACACACTCTCTCTCTCTCTCTATAGACATATATGGGTAGTAGAAGCTTCCAACAGGCCACGTGCCACCAAGTGGAGGAATTGGAGGATGGTACAGCGATGGAACATGATGGAACCAGTCGGCCTTCGTAAGACCAATGATGAGTTCCTATCACATGATGGAGACAGTTGATCTGATGAATTAAACCCCTCTACCGAATGGCTTTACATCTCCATAGCAGGCGTAGTAGCAGGCGTTTATCAATCAGCAGCCCACATTTGCTTTCGATTTGCTACTATCACCCTGACCCTGATTTGGGTGAGACTATATTCTACTGAGTCCTTGATCTGGCCTTCATCGCGTTTGAGCCCCGTCCCTACGTGCGCATAAGCCGAATCGCACGCGGCACACGGCGCGCACACACACCACCATCAGCAGCATCACTATCACTATCACCATCATCAGCATCAGCATCAGCATCATCAGCATCATCATCATCATCATCAGCAGCATCATCATCATCATCATCATCATCATCATCATCATCATCATCATCTTTCTTTCGCGACGCCCTCTGCTTCGGGAGGTAGCGTTGACCCTCTTGAACATTTGTCAGGTCAGGCACTTCGTACCACGTATGGTCATGAAAAGGACTGAGCGATCTGCAAAGCTAGTGCGGCCGTCGTTTCTATGGCCACATCCTGCTGCATGCGCTTCAAGAATCGGTGGAGCATTCCAAAATTGCGAAAACAAGGACAGATATGTTCATCCATGCTCTCCATCCCACTATAGAAAGGTTGGCAGGCGCACAAACGACCTGGTCTGGCCTGCGTCATGAATTGGAACGTAAGTTCCTCACACGGCTGCTCAGCTTCATCCCACAGCGCAGCATGGTGGAAGGAGGCCGCATGCTTCCAAGGAGTCAAGCAGCAATCGAACGTCGAGACGATCGAGAGCGGGCAGCCAAGCATTAAAAAGTGCATGGTCCTGACTGAACGCTTGCTTTACGTGCAGCATTTGTTGTTCCTTAGTCAAAATTGCCAAGGAGCCTGAGTCAATCACATCACAGATCTGAGCTCCGCCATGGTCCGTAAGCTTCAGCCAGAGGACACAGCAGCTCCTGAGCACGTCGTCCGGAAGTCGAGTCACATGCACTGGAGGCGCTGCATCATCCAACAAAACCCAGTGGGTCTCATCCCAAAGTGCAGTCTGGTAGTGTCCTGAGTGAGGGTCATGACCTACATGATGGGAAACCGCAACCACCGTGTATGGAATGTTGTCAATCTCCATGCTAAAGTGCACGAAGTGAGGTACAAACACTGGATGGTTCCAACTGAGTTTGTGAGTGCATTTGCCCCCATCTCGATTGAATCGGTCTATCTGCACAGTGAGTAGGTCGGCTGGACCAGCAAAGGCCTGGAGGCCATAAGACTCAAGTGACCATGCACTGAACAGCTCTTGCAGCTTGGTCGTATCTTCGTTTTCCGCTGCACTCAGATAGAGACGTACAGGACAGAAGTGTGCCCCGCTGTCCACCGTGCGGACAACTCCATCTGCCTCAATCCTGGCCTCCCAGAGATTGCTCAGGAAACAAGGCTCCACAATGGGAAGCAGGAACTGGAGGTATTCAACTAGGTCATGCTGTGCAAAGGGACGGGCCCATTGATCCATCAAAGAAAGCCACTTGCCATTGCCCCATAGCAAGACAGGCTCACCATCATCATTGCTGACGATGTGTTCGAAGATCTCTGGTAGGACCTTCCATTGGTGTGCCTGCAAAGGCCCCACTTTGATTGCACCCCATAGCAAACCCTGGACGGCTGAGTTCATGTAGCAGCAGTTTCCTGGGTTTTGCAAACCCCTGAGTGTGTGTTTGGAAGCCAAGCTCATAGGGTCTCCAACATCCGGCCGAGGTGGCCTGCCAATGGCGTCCTCTGAAGCGAGGCTGGTCGCATCCTGCCCAAAATGAGCTGCCATAGTCCCGAGAATGCCAGCTCCTGCCACAGGGAATGCATCTCCAGCGAGTACTTGTGGTTCATGGAGAGCGAGAGTCTCCACGGGATCACCTGTGGAGTGGCCACCGTCGGCTTGGTCATGTGCTGCTGAATCTGAGCATTCGGACGTAGGGCGCTGAATCTGACGATCACCGCATGGTTCTGAAGCAATGTCAGAATGCGAGTGAGCTGAGTGGTCACATGGGTCATCG